AGAAAACACGCTGCCATGCAGCCTGGGAAAGAAAGAACAGAAATGTACAAACTCATGCCAAAACGCCCATCAGCCTACTCGAAGTATATGAAAATAAAAGCAATAGTCTGCTAATGCAGGGGAGACGGGTTTGATCCCTGGTCTGATAAGATTCCACATGCAACTAAGCCTGTGAACCACAACCACTGAGCCAGTGAGCTACAAGTGCTGAAGCCCGGAACCTGGAGCCTCTGCTCCGCAACGAGAAGCCCACACACCGCGACAAAGAATAGCCCCTGCTCGCTGTGACTACAGAAAACATGTGCCAAGCAATGAAAACCCAACACAGCCACACACACACACAAAATGAATAAAAGTTTTAAAAGATTTTTAAAAAGATCGCCTAATAAAAGCTACAATCTATGAATATGAGCTGTATATTCTTATATAGTAAGTAGAATGGACAGATGTTAACCAACAGAATATCAAACAATATTTTAGTTCAAGTGTTTAAAATGTCCACCATCAGCACAAGTACATTTATTTTTTGGTGTGTTATTAACATTTGAGTGGTGCATGATTTTTTAGGGGGCATTGTATCGGCATATATAATACTAAGTCCCTGTCTACTTACTCCCCAAGAATCCATGTATTAATTCTTCACTCAAATCCTTTGGAACATCAGGTACTATAGGTACTAGGCTTCAAGGCAAATAAAAAGATGAGTCAAAACCAAAATAAATTTGAGAAGAGCAAAGCAATTTACATTTTCAGTATTTTCCTAGACCACTGAAACTAGGGAATCTAAATAAAACTGATTTTCCTCTTCCTCTATCTAGTTTTCCTTAGAAAATGATTGGAAAAAAAGAATGGCTTGATAAATAAGCTCACGAAAAGATGTTTGGCACCATTGGCCATCAGAGGAGTGTGAATCAAAACTACTTCACACCAACTAGGATGGCTAAGGAAAAAAATCTAGAGAAACTGAAACTCTCACACATTGCTGATGGGGTCGTAAATGGTGCAGTCACTTTGGAAAACAGTCTGGCAGTTCCTGAAAATGTTAAATATAGAATTAACATATGTTTTTCACTTGTAGGTATGTTCCCCCCCCAAAATGAAAACATATGTCCACATAAAAACATGAATGTTCAGAGCAGCATTATTTATAACAGGCAAAAAGTAGAAACAACACAAATGTCCATCAACAGACAAATGGATAAACAAAATGTGGTACACTTACAACAGAACATTGTTTGGCAATAAAAAGAAAGCTCTGATACATGATGCAATGTAGATAAATTTTGAAAACATTATGCTAAATGAAAGAAGTCAGAATACAAAACCACACATTGTATGATTCCACTTATATAGAATGTCCAGCATAGGCAAATCTATAGACAGAAAGTAGATTAGTGGTTATTTAGGTTGGGGGAGGCAGGAGATTAGAAGGGGTCAGCTAAGGGGTGGAAGGAGTAGTGCTAGTTTTAGGGATATAAAAATGTTCTGAAATTGATTATGGTGATGGTTGCACAACTCTGTGAATATACTCAATACCAATGAATTGTACACTTTATTGGTGAATTGTATGGTATATGAACTACATCTCAATAAAACTGTTTTTAAAAAAATGACCTAGAGGAGGACTTCCCTGGTGCTTCAGTGGTTAAGATGCTGTGCTTCCACTGCAGAGGGTGTGGGTTCAATCCCTGGCTTGGGGAACTAAGATCCCACAAGCGTCACAGAATGGCCAAAAAAACACAAAAAAACAAAAAACATGACATTGAAGCTAGAAGAAAATTACAAACTCAGTTAACTAAAAAGTGTTAGATACCCCAAATATGTGACTCCTTCTGTCTCTTTTGCACTGTAAATTTCTCCCAAATGAAGGTAAGAAATTTTTATTATCATTTTACAGTTTACAAGCACTTTTTTTTTTTACAAGCACTTTTATAAATAAGGTCCTTTTGAGTCCTTACTACATAATCTTAGAGAGAGACAACTGTCTCCCTAATTATATATTTAGGGACATGGTGGCTCCGAGTTGATGAGGTTTACTCCTGCTGTCAGTTGGTCAGGGTAAATATCAGTTCTTCTGCACCTGAATCCTGTGCCCTTCTTTCCAGACTGTGTAGCATCTTGGGGTACTACGTAGAGACCATCTGGTTGATATGCAGAGGTAGCATTGCTGACTGGTCTCAAAAAGGAGATTGCTCATGACTTGATTTTCCTGGGAGCTGGACTAGTTATCCCAATGCCTAAAATAAAGCCAAGTATGATCTAACTAATCAGAGGTCTTGTAGTACCATAGAAAGAATCCTTTGCTGTTGATTTCTTTGCTCTTTTGGAATTTATTTCAGTTTGGGCTCATCTTTTTATTTGTTTCAAAGTCTAGACCGTGTAGTATTAAATCTTCCCAATATCTCTGATCACTTATGTATTCTGAACCACATTCTTGATCTGTTAACAGTGTCTTTGTTAGATCATGAATGAAACCATTTTTACTAGTTTTCTAATTCACATTTCTGTTCTCATTGAAAAGCATGTCCTCAAATTGCAACCTGGACCATTTTAAGCAGATGCAAGAGGATGACATTCATTATTACAAAGCTTCTCTATAAATTATGAGTTTGGGATTAACAGATATATACTACTATATACAAAATAAACAAAAAGGACCTACTGTATAGCACAGTGAACTATACTCAATATCTTGCAAAAAACCTATAATAGAAAAAAATCTGAAAAAGAATATATGTAACTGAATCACTTTGCTATATACCTGAAACTAATACAACATTGTAAATTAACTATACTTCAATTAAAACAACAACAAAGCTTTCCCAAATTATATACAAACATTTTTAGAACCAGAAACAATGTCCTTGGACCATTAGACTCACTTAACATTAAAGCAGAATCCAAATAGTTTGGGGTCTTTTAGAAAATCATTTCAAATCTTTCTTAAGTCTTGCTGTGATCTGCATATATATACCCCAAGCAACAATACTTTTTCTTAAGGTTTATTCCAACTACTTTCAAAAATGAGTTTAAGTCACTACTAAAAAACAAAAAACTAAGCCCAATATAAACAGGACACCCAAAATAAAGCCAGTTAAATGAAGTGCTCCAGTCACACCAAAAAGGAAGGCCTCATAGGTTCAGGTTTTCTCCCTCAAAGAAAGTACATGCATTTTAAAAACCTGGACTTTCGGTGCCAAGTCCATCAGGTCAGCAACCCAGGAATTTCCAAATGTTTATCCATATTCTGTAAACATGATTTTACTTTTACTCTACATTGCTATTCAACCTTCTCTGTGTCCTACAGAAAATGTCATTAACAGTAGCCAGAAGCTCAGGGGCTGGGAAGAGGGGGTAAAAGGGTACTCTTTAATAAGTACAGAGTTTCTGTTTGGAACAAGGAAAAAGTTCTGGAAAAAGAGAGCAGTGAGGGTTGCACAACATGGTGATAGTGGTTAATGCCACTGAATTGTCCTCTTAAAAATGGTTAGGAATTTCCTGGGTGAGGACTCTGGCCTTTCATCGCCTGGGGCCTGGGTTCAATCCCTGGTCAGGGAACTAAGAACCAGGAAATCACACAGTGTGGTGAAAAAAAAAAGAAGAAAAAAATTATTAAAATGACAAATTTTATGTTGTATTTTATCACAATAATAATAAAAGTATCTAGAAACAAAAAACACATAGCTAGTGTACATGTCCAAATCTTGCTTAAGGTGCCTAGCTCCCTGGGGTGGAGGGGCTGTGCCCATAAAGCTGTTAAGTGTGTTTGTCCTGGTCTGGAAAAATGAAGGTTCAAAATAGGACAGGATGGAAATGTAGGGAAATATACTGTAAATTACTTCTTTAAACTGGACAAAAACACTTCAACCCAACAAATCTTCTGCCAGTGTTTCTCAAGCGATAACGCTCACATGATCCCCTGAGGACCTTGATTGAGCAGGCCAGGTAGCTCTGAAATCCCATATTTCAACAAGCCCCCAGGTGCTGCCGATGTTGCTGGACCGTGGACGACACTCACAGCAGCAAGGCCCCAGAGCGCTTGAAGTAACGCAGCCACCCTATTCATCCAACCGCTCTAGAACCACGGTCCTCTCACCGGGCAACGCAGAGGGTTGTTCACAACCTTCGTAAAAATGCGCTGTTTTAGAAACCAGATGGAAGGTCTCACTGCACCCAGCGTAAGAAGAAACCGCACCCACCCCTGGACTAGCAAACAGCCGCAGGCGATCCGGAGAGCTGATTGAGCTGTAGTTTCGCAGAAAACCCTCAAGCCGACTTCAGAACAGTCTTGAAAACACCCTGCTCAGCCTCCAAGAATGCCTGGAATTCAGTGGCCTTTCTCCAACACAAAGATGTCCAACTCAATTTTGACCGAGCTCCCTATAGAAGAACCTTGCAATGTGGCCCTTGAAGACTGACAACGCCCAGGACGTTGACGAACTCGGCCCCTCCCTTACAAATGGGTCAGAAAGTGGGAAAAAACAATTCTCCAAAATTCTGCAGAGGTGGGAGCTCGGGGCTCCCGGGCTGCGCGGGCTAACGAGCATCTCCGGGCTCTCAGGTGTGAGGCGGGGATTCCGCAGGCAGCCCCCACCTGCTCTCAACCAGCCCGTGCCTCCCGCGGCCCGCGTAAAGCCTCCTCCGGACGCTGCCAAGGTTGACCGCTCCAACACAAACTCAGAGGCCCTTTTAATCTGGTTAAAGAGAAGCTCAACAGAAAGTGAAACATTTCCCGTCCCTTGGAGGAGAGAACTCCAGGCCAGGTAGGAGAAAGAAAGTGGGTCGCAGGCACCTGTAGCCGCCCCGCTTCTAGACGATTCCGCAGGAAAACCCTGTGACTGTCATCCCCTGGAGGGAGCGGGGAGGCAAAAGTCAGTTAAGCATCCCCAGAAAGGGGAGAAAAAAGTTACTGTCCAAGAAAGTATACCCCGAATCTACAGGGACGTGGGGTGACCTCAGCTCGCGTTTACTCGCGCTCCCCACCCTCCTCCACCCGCACAATGAATCCAGAGAGCACCCCCCGGCACCCCGCAAAGCCCTCCCCAGCCGAAGTCGAGACCGAGCAAGGTGTCCCGGAGCTGCCGGAGCGCGGCTGCGGCGCTGGGGGCGGCTCTCCCATCCCCGCGGAGGGCCGTGCCGTGACGCCCGCGGACGCTCTGTGGTCGGGAGGGAGAGGGAAGAGGGTACTCGCCTGCAAGCTGGTGGCGGCCGAAGTTGGCGCAGTCGGGGTCGGGCTCAGGGTGAAGGCGGCTCTGGCCGGCGCTTGGGCGCCTCCGACACGACGCCGACAGCTGGGCCGATGTCTCCTGCGCTCCCCGCGCGTCGCCGGCGGCGCCTGGCGGAGCCGGACTACTGGAGGCGGCCCGGGGAATGGGCGGGTGCGAGTGGCCTCGGCCGCCGCTCCCGTGTGCTATTGTGACTCAAGCTATTTCCTGTTTGGAGGTTTGGGAGAAAGAAAAAAAAAAAAAAATTCAGGGTGGGGGCAGGGGGGTTGGGGCGGCGGCGACCGGAGAGAGCGGCGGCCCGGAGGGGACTCGGGTGGCCAGAGGCTGTCGCCTGTCTAGATCGAGCCCCCAAGGGTGCCAAGCTTGCGAGCCGGGAGAGAGAAACGCAGGTTCTTGCAGCTTTACTTTGGGGTGTCTGGAAGGACCGAGGCGGGTGCGGGGGGAGGAGGTTCACGCACGCCACCCAGCGGTGGGGTAGGGGCTGCGGCCGCAGAGGATGCCTGCCTGGTCACTCCAGCCCGCGCGCTCACTGGTCTGGCTTTCTTCTCTGCAAAACTACCGCTGAGCTTTCTTCCCGCCCAAGGGCGAGTGGAATGCGCTGTGCTGCTTGCTTTATTCTTGACCTGGTCGGCTTTTCGATCCTCTCCACGGGTGTGGGCAAGGAACTGGTCAGCGTCTCCGCTTTTTCAAAAACCAGCGGACGATGGTTGGGGGCCATTGTGGGTGTTCGTTTGGCGACTTTTGCTGGAGGGGGCGCCGGGGCGGGGCGGGGGGGGCGGTGTCTTTGTTTTTGTTGGGAGGGGGATGGGAAAACAGGTTAATTATTTTGATGGAAAGTTAACTTTTATGATTAGTTTCCGTTCCCCTCCTCCACCAACCTCACCCTTAGCCGGGATCACTGGGTCTGAGGCCCCAATCCGGAAATACCGGTTCCTCCCGCTGGGACAATAGGTGAGGGCGGGAGCGTTAACCGTGAGCTAGCTTAGTCTCCACTGGAATCCCTGCTCTCCCTCCTAGTGCCCAAGACTGCAACTGGCTAGCAGGTGCGTCTTCATTTAGTCTTGTTAAAGGTCCTGCGATGGGTTTTGGGGACTTGTTTAATGGGTGAAGAGTTTCAATGTGGAACTCTGAAAAATGTTGGTTGCACAACTTAATGGTTTAAATGGTCAAATTTTAATGTGTATTTTACCACCAAAAAAAAAAAAATTCATGGGAAGATCATACCTTCATTCAGTCAAGATAGATTTGCTTATGATTGGCAAGCTCCCCTTCCCTCTTCCCTTACACAAACCTTTGCCAGAAGTAATGGTATAAGTAAAACTCAAGTTCATTTAGTTTAGACTGTGTATGTGTGTGTGCGCGCACGCAGTCAGTCCTGTCTGACTTTAAGACCCCATTTTCTCTAGCTGGCCAGGCTCCTCTGTCCATGAGGATTCTCCAGACAAGAATACTGGAGTGGGTTGCCACGCCCTCCTCCGGAGGATCTTCCCAATTTAGGGATGGAACCCAGGTCTCCCGCACTGCTGGCGGATTCTTTACCCTTTAGACTTTGGGGAGTACCTATCAACAAGTTATTCCAGGAACTGAGTAGATTGCATCTACAGGACAGTACAATTTTTAAAAAGATAAACAGTAGTTTGTCAGGAACATAGTGCTGGCAAGATGAATAATAGTGAATATGGTGTCTTGCTGTTAATCTATGAAAGCAGGAACACACATTTGTGTATTTTCTAAGTGGAAAGATAAATTATTAAATTTGGGAGAGATGGAGCGAGTTGGAAAGTAAAGAATAGAAGCTAAACTTCTCTGACTCTATCTTGTTTTGTAGATTTGACTAGGATGCCGTAAATTTTTATGATTATGAAAAATTAAACATTTAAAAAGCAAAATGCAACAAAAGGAACACAGGTATCAAGTTGGTGGCTTACCCATATAAAAGGAAATTATATCAGGTAACTTTAAAACACAATTGTTTGGTTCTACATGTCTTAGGAATATACCTTGAGGATGAAAAGAATGCTAAAAAAACATAAACTGCTTTTTAGTAATCATAATGTTAGCAATAATTTATGTTAATGTTCTTACCAATCTTTTAATATAAAAGGTAAATATAAGATCAAAGCTAAGCAATATTAAATTTGAACTGAAATTGTCATTTAGAACTTATACTTTTCTTAAATTTTTTTCCCAAGGTCTGTTGTTCAAAATGTTCACTGAACAGTGACCAATCTGGCAGGATTAAGCACTCTTAGATTCCAGATTGTGGTCTCTAAATACCATTTTTCTTTGAAAGGAACTAGACCTATTTGGAGAAGTGACTTATTTTAGATTAAAGGCAAAAAGTACCCCAAATAAGACTGGGAGTATCTTATCAATTCAGAAAGCAAGGAAGCTATCAAAAATGAATAGATTTGCATGAAATCAAATAAGAAGCCAACTTATAGAAGCACCCACTGGCCAAAGTGGGATAAATTTGAGCATTAATAACAAAAATGACTGCAATGAATTGAGACATATCAAATATATATAAATATATATATGTATATATATGAGTCATAAGAATACTTTTTAAAAAACCCAAAAAGCCCTAATTGGTTACCTTGCAGATTCAGTGGAACTAATTCATTATTTTGAGAGCTGGTAAATTTTAAGAGAGAATTACATATTTTATCTGCCTCTTTTGGACTATATCTAATACTTTATATGTACCATTTTAGATATTATATCTCTCACTTGTCTCTTATTCTAGCCACTGCTGTAGCAACAAATTCTAGGTGGGCTCTTTCCAGCTTCATGCAGGAACAACCCAAATGACCTCATCTCCCACCTCCCACTCCAGCGCTTACCTGTTAATACCAATGTGAGAATCCATGGAAACTATCTTGTTGCCTATACATACAGCACCCTGAGGGGTGGGTGAGTTAGCACTTCATGATCTAACTGTGGACCAGTGAGGGGATGGAAGCTGATAACTAAATATGCCCTCCTTTTATGCCAGGATAAACTATTCTGAGGCTCAGTCCGTATCACTTCTCAGAAATCAAGTCACAGTGAATCACTTAACCAGATGTCTGAAGCCACAAGACTACTGGATGAGGCTCCCTTGAACTGGCTCTCTCAGGTTCCCTCACCACTAGCTTTCCCTAGAACCATGCTTCCAGTGGGGCTCCCCAGGTGGTTCAGATGGTAAAGAATCTGCCTGCAATGCAGGAGACCTAGGTTTGAGAGCTGGGTCCGATCCCTGGATTGGAAAGGTTGTCTGGAGAATTCTCACCTGGAGAATTCCTTGGGCTGAGGAGTTTAGCAGGTTACAGACCCTGGGGTCACAAAGAGTCAAACACACTGAGCGACTAATACACAAACAGCCCATGTCTCTAGAACTCTGCTTCCTGGGAAACCCGAGCTATGAGCTGTACAAACTGTATCTCACGATAACTAAATAATTGATGAGGAAATTATTCTAGCAAATGAAATGACAAAATTTGAATATCAGCATTTTCTATAACTCAATAAAAATGTATCAAGGCAATGGTCATCAACGGCTACTAATATCATAGAAAAGATCACTAGACTTTATATGCAGTTGCTGCAAAAATACTGCAAATGACACATTTTTGCAAAAAAAGAGCAAACCGGAATCTGATCAAGCTTCTAAACTGAACTACCAGCTTAGGGGAACTATTGGAATAGAGGAATGTGTTAACACTACTAGGGGCATGTGAACAAAATCCCATCCTGTATGTGAGAAACTCTAAAAGACAAATGACCCAGTTTCCTCAAAAAGTAGCAGGCACTAAAAATGATGGGGGAAGAAACATAGATTAGAAGACTTAAGTGGTATCAGTGAAATACAGCATGTATTTCTTGCTTGGTTTCTGATTCAAAATGAGGAGATATTTGGGGAAACTTGATAACCCCTAAGGTAGAAAAATTTTAAGAAATGTTTTTAAATATTTTAATCAATGCACTAATTTAGTATGTGGGGTTGGTGTTGCCACTACCTGTGTTTGGGTGGCGTATTTGTTATATATATGTTTAATTTTAGAGAACATTTCAGGTAGGAAGAAAGGGACTCTGACTGGCACAGTTGGTTTTTGACATTTTCTGTTTTTTCCCATCCATTCTTTTCATTTTGGGTACGGGCTCTATGTGTGCCTTTGTGCTTTCCTGCAAACAGCATTTTCAGTAACATAATTATTTCCATTCTGAACACTTAACATTGCAAAATCTGCTCTTAGAAATAAAGAGACACTTCCATGGGCCATAGGGACAGTACTCTGAAAAATGGGACAAGAACTCTGGGTTCTGACTCAGCTCAGCAGAAGTTCTCTTCCTGCCACTGGCGCTAAGTCAGTCCCATAGAAACTGTCTTGCCTTCCCGGGAGACAAAGCCCTATTCTGTGCCTCTTGTGACAGGGAGTACTTGTGTTCTGAGGTTCTGAAATCAATACTGTGCTTCACCTGCAAGCTGGATAAATAGGATGGGGAAAGAGTCAAATCTCAGTCTAAATGGGGCACTTGCCTTGGTGAGACAGGTGGTTCCTGTAACAGGCAATAGGTCTATCACTGAGCCCCCGAAAGAGCCTTGTTTCTAGTTTTGACTTTGCTACTTGCTGCCTATGTAATTCTGAGTTTTGCATATTTTGTAGTTTCATTGAGAAATAATTGTCATAGATCCCTGTATAAGCTTAAGGCATACAGCATGATAGTTTTATTTACACATATTGGGAAATGATTACTACAACAGGTAATAGGCGTCAGCTAATAGGCATCATCTTATAACAAAAGGAAAAGGGTTGAAAAAATGTTCTCCTTGTGATGAGAACTCTTAGGATTTACCCTTTTAACAACTTTCCTGTATATCGTACGATAGTTAGCATATTGTATGTTGCATCCCTAGTATTCTGTAATATTTATTTTATAATATCTCATAATAATATAATTGGAAGTTTACCTTTTGAGCATCCTCCTCCAATTTCTCCCTCTTCCCTCCTCCCCCACAATACAAGTTTATATTTAACTTCCTTGACTCTCAACTTCTGTCTTTTTACTCTTTGACCTGGCAACTCCATTTTTACGTATCTAGGTATCTACCCATCCCCCACATATACTTTCACAGATATTGAAAGAAATACATTTAAGAATGCTTATTCCTGTGTATTAGACTGGCTAAAAATTAAAATTAAATGCCACTAAAGGAATGGCTAGATGAACAGTACATTTGGATGATGTACTAAGTGTACTTTGGTGCCTTTCAAGGTAGTTTTTTGTATGAACTATTCAGAGATTTGCATGTCCAAAATGAGTATTCAATTAATTAAAGTTATAAATTTAAAACC